TTTCTGGTAACTACTCTGACTAAAATCAAACCGATGTTCCTCAGTGTCTCTCTTGCCCAGTCTATGATTTGTTGTCTGCTGTCGGTTTGTTTTTAAGAGATTATTGTAAATAATGTAAATCACATGCAGGATTTGCTTCAGCTATAAAATGTACATCTAAACTTGCTGACTCCTACCTTGAGCCATTTAGTTGGCACACCTATAATCTCGAGTGCCCCATCTACAATAGCAGCCCAAGACGTGGCTCCAACTCTATCCTTGGTTAGAAGAAGTTTAGCTCGTCACCAAGCCAAACTTGCTGTTATAATTTTCTACCCAAATAGCCCAATTTTAGAGACTGGGCTTCTGTTCTATTCCTGCAGTAAAGCTCCCTCTTCTCCCCCACCCCTTCTTTTAATCCCAGTTCCATTAATGCTGTCTTTGTCTCGACAACCTTATCTGATTCCCCAGCTCCTATAAGCCTAAGACTCTGCCTAACCCTGCCCAGATGTTGCTGTAGACCCCAGGAGGCCTGCTGCTGATGGCTCTCCGTATAGCTTGCAGGCCTGCTGCCCCTCTACTGGCCATCAGCTCTGAATTCCCTTCCACCTTCACTTCAATATGCTTTGCTGTCAGTTTAGCTGACTCTCCCTTGTGACTGCTATTCCCCACTCTGATTTCCACCATCTGTCCCTCCAGTGTGAGTTTATCTCACTTCTAGAGCCACAGAAGGATGATCTTGGGCTAAGCAGTGCTGAAAGAGCACAGGTTTGGGATCTAATTTTGTGTGTAATCCCAACTTCCACAGCTATGAGCTGTGGGTCCTCAGGTATTAAGGAATTTAACCTGTCTTGTTTTAGTTTATCTCTAAAATGGGACCGATAATACTCTTCTGGATTGTTGGAAGTAAATAGGATAATTTGTGTAAGGCATGGAGCATAATATTCAGCATATAATAGGCATTCAATATACGATGATCCCCCTTAAATCTTTGCAAAGGATTACTGCTAATCTGTTGCCATTTCTTTACATCTGAGTTTATCTTTCTTCATTTAGGATGGAAACTATTTTCATGGCCACACACACACACACGCACACACACACATACACACATACATCAATCAATCAATCAATCAATCAGGTTATATCTGAGAGCCAAAGAACACTCTTTTTTTTTTTTTTTTTTTTGCTGACGACCTCATTTATTTACTAATACAGTACTTTTTAAAATCAAATTCACTAAATACAAATAATACAAACAGTGATATATTTTGATATTACCATTTCAAGCAAAGACAATTTTCTCCACACAGGTGTCTAGCTGGAGAATATCATACATAGCAACTTTGAACTGCAGACTACGTTTGCCTCAAGAACATATTCCAAGCAAGAGCAATGATAGGGAGCAAAAGAACATTCTGATAGAATTTACCAATATATGTTCCCCTTCTTCAGGTGTTAGGCACCTGTGCCTTTCCCAGCCTGCATGGGAAAGGCCCTTAGGTATAAAATACAGAAAGGAAGTTTTGCAACGTCATTGTATTTATTTGGGTAGAGGTCTAAAACTATAACTGCAAGATAAGTACATTGTAGTGTCACTTAGGCAATTGCCAGATAGGGTTGCTTTGTTTTTGAAGTGTTTCCCCAATTTCAGAAATCCAATTCATTGGATATAAGGAGGAGAAAACACGAAAGTAGAAAAGTAAGTTTAAATTCACAGTCTTAGCTATTATATTACTTTATAAAGTTTTCTGGAATTCTATACGTTCTCCTCAGTTTAGCTAACTGTTAATCCATGTTGGGATTCATTGTCTACCAAACCCAGTTAATACAGTTTATTCTTAACAAGCCCCATTAGTGTGTTATGGATGGATGTGTGCTTAAACTCAAAAGACTTGCACAGATCCTGAAGCTCTAAGAATTATTAACCCATTATGAACTCTCTCTTCCCAAGCCCACCTCTATCTAAGCCCCTACCTTCACATTAGACCCATGCTGGCTCTCCTGCTCAGGGGCCTGAAATGATAGCATAGGGGCCATAAATATGGGCTATGTTTCTGTTCAGGGCTCAGGAATCTGAATTATAAAAAAGACACTCATCCTACAAGTGAAACTTTGAGCTTATGCTTTCTGCTCTCCGAGGAATATGGAAAGTAAGAAGATGGGTGAAGAGAAAACACGCCTCATATTTCTTGAAAGTTCACACCATATTTATTAAAATACTGAAAACGGAGTGGGTATTCTACGCACATATTGATTAATCGAGAGGATGACTAAGACAAAGGAGAACAGAGAGATGGCTGTCTTAGGTAACGATACTCACCTGGCAGCCCTAGAAGTCCATGATCTTAAAACGAATCCAAACTATGGCGATACGACAGAGCAGAATCCAATTTACACAATCATAACATATGTTACTTTCCCCTCTGAAGGATTGGATGTAATTAGTATAATCCTGTCTATTCCCATCTGGACCTGTTGAACCCTAGGACGCGTCTGTGGGGCCACTGAGTGTCTTTTCAGGATGCTCACCTGACCTGCTACCACATCACGTGTGGACGTCCTTGTGCTCTTTGACCACATCTGCAACATGACGGGCGCTGCCTTTCTGGAAGGGACAGAGATGCCTGCCATGTCACACCTCCCTCGTGGCAGTGACAATACATTCATTACTCAACAAAGCAGCATCATGGCGTACTGAGAGTCATAGGTCTGACTCAGAATTCCTGTATTTGAGTGCTGGCTAGGTCGTCCCGGGTGTCACATACCCGTTTCCTATGAAAACAAAAACAAAAATAAAATACAAAAAACTTGGTAGTACTTGTCTAATAGGGCACTTGAAAGTACTGGATGAAAAAAATGAAGTTTAAATATGCTTTAAATATGCTTCCCAGAGGGGCACCTGGGTGGCTCAGCGGGTTAAGCCTCTGCCTTTGGCTCAGGTCATGATCTCAGGGTCCTGGGATTGAGCCCCATGTCGGGCTCTCTGCTCAGCAGGGAGCCTGCTTCTCCCTCTCTCTCTCTCTGCCTGCCTCTCTGCCTTCTTGTGATCTCTGACTCTCTGTCTGATAAATAAAATCTTAAAAAAAAAAATATGCTTCCCAAATCCCTCACACCAGCCTGTGGACAAGAGACTACATCACAGAGACCAGTATTTCCTATGTGGATAACGATGGTTAAGTTACATAATCCAATCAGGGGCTGCCTGGGTGGCTCAGTGGGTTAAGCCTCTGCCTTCAGCTCAGGTCATGATCTCAGGGTGTGGGGATCGAGTCCCACGTCGGGCTCTCTGCTAGGCAGGGAGCCTGCTTCCTCCTCTCTCTCTCTCTCTCTCTCTCTACTTGTGATCTCTCTCTGTCAAATAAATAAAATCTTTTAAAAAAATAACATAATCCAATCAAAAAGCGTTGTTTGGGCCCTTAACATCTGCCAATCTAGGGAAACTAGTTTAATCACCAAGGAATTAAGGGTCTAGGCGGTGGTATTAAGGCATAGTTCATGGTCCAAGTGAGCAGGACGGCATCTGGGTAGTCTCCACTGAGCTCCCAGGGACGGAAGTTCAAGGGGTTCATCAGAGTAATGGTGTCTTCCATCGCTCTGGTGAGTGTGCTCAGCTGTAGTTGTTTCCAGAGCTGCTAGCAGCGGACCTCAGCATTTCTTAAGAGCAGGTGGCCCAGGCCTCTCTGCCCGGCCATCTCTGTATTTAACAGCCTCTCGGTGGCCTGGGACCAAGGATTTCCCGGTGAGGGCGTTCTCAGCGGTACCTTTCCTGGAGGGAGGAGACAACACAGGTATCCATTTGTCTCCAGAACTCTGGCCAGGCTCTAGACCTACTCCCCATGACTGCTGTAGTCTTCTAGAGCTGGGCAGTGTTCACCATAACACCTGAGTGGAGGTATGGGGGCGGTGAGAGAAGACACACCTGTCATCCACGCCAGACCCTGTCTGAGCAGATCACGGAGAACTATGGGCTGATGGCGCCCCCTGGTGGACAAAATTGCTCCCTCTCCACAAGCCCTGAGGAAAGTGTGCTTGCCTGCCGCTCTGGGACACAAAACCCCAGACCCTCATCAGAGACTGAGCTTTGAAATGACTTCTCATTCACCCCTTTCTCCTTGCCTCCCAGTTACCTGCTCATCTGGTCCACATGCTCTGGGAGAGAGCTGCTCCTAGCTAGAAGCAGAGTGGAGCCATTACAGCCGCCTTCTGGCCGTCCATCTCTGCAGGGCTCCCGGGATCTGGGCTTCTCTCCCTGCCTGCTGCTTCTGGGCCATTCCCCTGGGAGCTGAGCCTTCCTGTTCCACCCTCACTCCATGCATGGCCTTGCTCAGGTAGCAGACCCAGTTCTGAGCCGTGGCTGCTGAGTCAATGTTTGGTGAGCCCTCGCTGTGGATCCAGACCCTGGTCCTCTCTAAGTCAGGGTCTCTCTGAAGAGCTTACTTTTTAAAAAAGATCAGCTTGAGATGGTGGGGGGTGGGGTGGGGTGGCTGAGACGTTTAGGTGGTGGCGAGCACCAAGTATAGGGATCAAACTGAAGAAGTGGGTGTTTATTCTAGGGGTGTGAGTGAGGGGCTACACTCTGAGATACTCCCTCTTCCTCCTTTCTGAGCCCTCAGGATTTCTCCAGGTTTCTTTCCAGCACCCCTCTGGGCATTGACGCTGGTATTAAGAAACATACGTTTGTTACCTGGGCATACTGTGGAGAGTCATGCCGTTTGATCCTAATAGCAAGCCTCTGAGCTGGGTCGAGTTACTGTCTGTACTTACAGGCACAGAAACCAGGGTTCGGGGAGATGAAGTCTTTCCCAGACCTTCCAAGGGGCAGAGCAAGGTCTGCAACGGAGCCCTTCAGAGGTTGAACTGGTGGTTAAATCGCTGTGCTGGGCAGGCTGAGCACTCCCAGAAGGGCATGGGAAAGCTGCAGGAAGAGTCGCTTGTAGAGAAGAGGCAACAGGGGAGCATAGGGGGTCAGGGAGAAGGAGGAGGTTGGGTCTGTGGTTGGCGCCCAGGATGCTTTGTGTTCACTCGTCAGGGGGGGATTTCTCACTGTGTGTACTGCAGGTGCAGTAGAGGCTTCTGCCCTGGGTCACATTGGTCACATGCAGCCTCAGCTCTGTGCTGTCGACCCGCTTGACCCGGTAATCTGCTCCAGGACGGGACACAACCTCCTCATCCCCAGGACTCCGCAGAGTGGCCAGCACCTGTAGTGACCCCTGGAGGTCCTGTTGGTACCAGCTCATCCAGGGGTACTGGGAATTCCTCAGGATGCAGTGCAGGGTTTTAGCCTGTCCACGAGCTACCAGGACCCACCTGGGCCTTTGCTCCACCAAGCTCGCCGTGGCACCTGAAACACACAGTCAGGCCAGGCTAAAGTTCCCGAGGGTAACAGTAACTCCTGAAAATAATTATCTGCAGCCAAATCCCAAAGAGGGGGAGGCCCATGAGCAATGCCAGCAGCAGACTCCTGGGAACAGAAGGAGTGCTTTCTGCGGGGGTGCTATGCCAGGGAGGGTCTTAGCAAGGCTGGGACCTGGGAGCAAAACTTTCTGTCCCTCTTTCCCTCCCCCAACCCATGGATTGGCTTTTTCTGCCTGGCCTCTGACCTGTACTCATGGTAGCCATGAGCACCCAGCCCCACAGAATGGATGGCGGTCCCATTCTCTGGCCCCACAGGCTTTCTCCAGCAAGGCAGCGGGACAGGGCCAGAAGAACAGGATGCGGGTCTATAAGGTGACAATTAGTAGCTGACACTCTAGGCCTGAAACTCAAAAGGGAGGGGCTTTTCCAGGAAGCTCAATATTTTATCTCATTGTCTCACTGAGGTTCAAACCCCATGGGGTTTCCTGTTTCCTGCATGCCAACGACCCTAACACAGACAGGTGCACACTCCCCAACTTCACGGAGTGCCTTACTGAAGGTACGTGGCCTGCACCCTCTCCACTGTGCCCCGGAGAATCTGCACTGCACATCTTCACAAGGGATTCAAACATCTCAGTGCAAGCCAGCAGGCGGCTAGATTGAGTAAAGACTGCCCTCCCCGTATGCCTCACACACGCACAGAGACAGCCCTCCGTGGGCTCACATTTCTGATTCTCGTGTTCTCCTCTGTAAGGTCAACTAACAAATTAAACATAAGAGACTTAATTACCCCTGTTGGAAATAAGGGAAGAGACTTACCTCCTGTCCATTTTCTTAGAACATTTACTTTAGAAAACTTGTAATTGTAAGTTCTCTCTTTCTTTGAAATATATGTAAGTCACCCAGAAATGTTTTTCTCTAGGACCTGCAATGAATCTCTTTGAAATACGAACAACAAAGTGAGACTAACCTAATTTAGAGCGCATGCCTCACACCAAGATGTAAAATTGTGCCCTGCCAGAGAGATAGGGCAAGATGACTTGCCCTCCGGGTAAACCTGGATGGGACCCCCAGTTAGCAAGTGACTCCAGGATGTCCTCTTCAGCCTCTGTTTTGAGGACTGGTTGTCACTTATCTCGAGAATGTGTATGTAATGGGTTGAGTCTGATGGCCCATACAGAAGGCTGGGATTTCTGCCTGTCTTTGCACTATCCTAACCAAATGCCTGGGATGTATACATATCACATTCTGATTTAATGCTTATTCAATAATAAGACTTCTTTCTTTCTTTTCTACTTCCGGGGAGAGGTTTCCTGAGTTGAAAAGAGTTCTGATTTTTGGTTACATTTTCCCAACAAGGCGCAGTGCTGGTGCTACCTAGTGCTCTGGACTTCGGACTCAGTTTACCCATCTTGAGATGAAGATAATAATGAGAGTGATTTCATAGGAGTCAATAGATCCGTACACAAAAAAGTTCTTGGAATACAGTTTGGCACAGACGAAGTCCTTAGTGAGTTGACTTCTGTCACGTCAGTGGTAAATTGCCAGTTCAATTTACATATGACAGAATTTATGGCAGGATTTACCTCCCTTTATCTCTCTCTTAGTCATCAGCTGAGATGAAAATCACAAGTTCTCATAGCTTTCTAACATTGGCAAGAGGAATCGTTTTCCAGAAAGTTTGGAAACCAGTGATCTGGGATATTAGATTAAAAAAAAAACAAAAAACCCTCTCAGGGTACCTGGGTGGTGCCGTCAGTTAACTTGGTCTCAGCTCAGGTCATGACCTCAGGGTCCTGGGATGGAGCCCTGCATCAGGGTCCTCGCTCATCGGGGAGTCTGCTTGAGGTTCTCTCTCCCTCTCCCTCTGTCCTTCCCACTCATGTTCCCTCTCTCTCTCTCTAAAATAAATAAAGTCTTTAAAAAAAAAAAAAAGACCTTGTCTTCACCCTCAGCATTTGACAGGCAAAAACATGGGGACACATAGGGGTCTAGCAACCAGACTTTACTATTTCAAGACCTGGGATCGCACTGTATTCACATTGGTGCTCCCAGTGTGGAGTCTGAGCCTTACGGGGCCCTTGATGAGGGAAGAAGGGAGCCAGATGGAGCCAGGTGAGATCACGGACCCATCACTCTGGGGAGCTGACACATCGGGGAACAGCTGTGGCCTGACGTCCTGGGGCTTTGCGCCTCCCAGATGCAATATTTTTGTTAATCTGCTGACATATAAATACTTACCACAATACGGCTCATGTGGCTCTAGCAAAGAGTAACAGTTATTGATGCTGCGTGCTGACAACATAATACAGTTGTCTTCATAGCTTTGCAATCTCTGTGGTTCTGGATTTTTTTTTTTTAAGATGCTCATTTTCATTATGTACAATTTTGGGTAGAAAGTGGATTTGTTTAATATTTTCATATCAGGCGACTTCAAATGTGCATAATCTAATCGTGCACAAAATGTCCATCTCCCAGCATTCCAAGTAACATGTGCTGCTTCTCTTTTGGCTTTTGCTCTCTTACCTCTTCCCAACCTCTTCTCTCCAGAGAGGGCGGGGGATGATACTCTGGGAAGCATTGCCCAAATCACACATCTTGAACACTAGAAATGTGTATGTGCCCACACAGAGGCGTCCTCACCTGGCAAGCCACGGTGCATCGCAGTCTGAGGTTACTGTGGAGAGAGTGACTCTGGGGATCAGGGACAGGCACTGGAAGAGGAGAGCAAATCATAACTGGCTGGGGGAGAGGTGAACAGGGAGAGAAAAGCCCAGTGGGTGGCCAGAGGGAGCCCAGGAGCAGAAACCCTGAAGCAGTAGGCACTGGCTCCCAGCTCCCTCCCTCAGGCAGGCACTCTGGCAGGTAGACAGATTTCAGGATAAGGGATTCTGGCCCCATCTTGGTTTACAGGGCTAGCTGACCTGTCTCTCTGTCGCTCCCTCTCTTTGCCTTAATCCCCAAATGCGATTGGGATCAGAGTGTCTCTGACACGCCTGTTATCTCCTCTCTGGATTCCTGCTCCTCAAGGTCAGTGCCTCCCCAGCTCCTCCTCTTGTCCTGGCCCTGCTCCCATCCTGGGCCAACCTCCCTGCTCCCATCCTGGGCCAACCTCCCTGCTCCCATGCCCAGAGTTGGCATTATTGTTGCTGCCTTGGGAGATAGGTTTTTTCCTCCCACTGCACCCCAGTTCCTACTCAGGTGCTCACAGGAGCAGCCAACAACCTCAGCTGGGTCCTTACCAGCTTTGATGAACTCAGTAGAAAATGAAAAGAGTATGCATGCCCTGGGTGGAAGCATAAACAGATGCTCCAGGCCCTGTCCACCACGGTTGGAGCTGAGTGCCTCTGTGATGTGTGGTCCGGTTTCTGGGCTGGGGGATGCCTCCTGGGCACATGTCCTTGTTAACTTTTCAGAGCCTCTCCATTGTCTGTTGGAGAAAAGACACTGGGGTCAGTGAAGTGATTTCCAGCTTTGGCTCAGCTATGTCAGAAACTGGATAGAAAAAACACCAGGCCGTGCCCGGGTGGCTCCGTGGGTTAAGCCTCTGCCTTTGGCTCAGGTCATGATCTCAGGGTCCTGGGATCAAGCCCCACATTGGGCTCTCTGCTTCGCAGGGAGCCTGCTTCCCCCTCTCTCTCTGCCTGCCTCTCTGCCTACTTGTGATATCTCTCTCTGTCAAATAAATAAATGAAATCTTAAAAAAACAAAAAAACAAAAAAAAAACGCCAGGCATACAATGAGATGTGTGTCCCCTCCCTAAGAAGCAGTCAGCAGATAACAACTCCCTCTACCAGGGCAAGCCGTGGCAGGAAAGCACTTCTGGTAGCTGGGCACCCTTTGGATGTCTGTAACCTAAGCAAATAATGGAAAGAGCGCTGGTCTGGGGGCAGATCCCCTGTGTGCCAGTGTTAATTCCACCTCTGACTGCATGGGGGATCAATACCGCTTGGTATTTCCTTTGCCTCATCTAAAAATTAGGTGAACCTAAATTCCTTTTCACTCTGGTGTTCTAATATTCCAACATTCCTTCTGTGCTTTTATGGTTTGAAAACCAAAGCACTTGTCGGTGGGGACCCTGGGCCAAGCCCCCAGTGGAGTGAGAATCACTAAATGTGACTTCTCTGGCAGGCAATTCATGGAGGGAAAGGTAGAGCACCAATGATCCCAAGGGCCAGTTTACATTTATCTCCCATTCTCTCCCTCTTCTTCCCCTCCCCACCCTCCTCCTCCTCCTTGCCGCTCCCCAGGAATATGCAGAAACTCAGGGCTGACCCAGACTTGCCCATCTGGAAAGCTGATTATGGCTCCTTCACCTCTATGTGTCCTTCCAGGGATTAGTAGCAAAGACTCCTCCGGGAGATGGAAATCATAGCCTTCCCCGAACACCCCCTCAGAAACTTCTCTCCTTCCTCTGCTGCATGTCGTCAGTCTCGCCCTCATCCCCAGCTATGCCCCAGTTCCAGATATAGAAAATGCCCATAAAAACTGGGGCCTGGGGCAGGTGCCAGAGAGCAGAGTGCTCCGTAAGGACATCCAAGGATTTGGGAATGTGGGGTGCAGAAAGGGAGAGAGAGAGAAATAGAGACAAGGAAATAAAGAGAGAGAAAAAGAGACAAGGAAAGAACAGCAGGGAAAAACTAAACCCAGGGAGGACCCTGTCATGGGTTGGGGTGGAAGAGTCTAAGGACCTTCTCCTGAGAATTTCATGTCAAGTCCCTGCTCTGGGACAAGAGCACTCTGCTCTGCACCCTCACTGGGCACCCCACACCTCCAGAGTTATGTAAGTGGCACCACTCTGAATCCAGAGGATAATCAGATCAGAAGAGCCCCAGTCTGTCCCTCCCCCATGGCACGGTGCCTGCCACAGGTAGAGGCACATATAAACCCATACTTCTTGAGTGTCTGTCTGTAGGAGAGATGCTCCAGACCCCAGGAGCCATGACCTGTGCCCTGCTCTTCAGGCTTCTCCTACTTATGGCCCTGGTGGCCTCCTCCCAAGGCAAACGCCTTGGCCCCACATCTCGCCTGCGTTATTCCAGGTTCCTAGACCCTTCCAATGTCATTTTCCTGAGCTGGGACTTTGACCTTGAGGCAGAGATCATCACTTTTGAGCTGCAGGTCCGGACAACTGGCTGGGTGGGCCTGGGTGTCGCAAATCGCTACACCAGAGTAGGGAGTGATCTGGTTGTTGGAGGAGTCCTGCCTGATGGCAACGTCTATTTCTCGGTAAGTCTGAGGGTGATTCCCTTCTGAGTATGAAGGTCTCTTGCTGGGTTGAGGATATCTCTGGGTCCAGGAAGGATCCACATTTTCCAAACTTATCCAGGCACATGCCC